GGGCTGGGGGGGGGAGGCACCCAGGTGTGGGGGTGCAAGGAGGACTTGGGGAGCCCCCAGCAGTTGGAGGGGGCTGGGGGGGGAGAGATCGGGGTGGGGGTGGATGGAGGCAATGGGGGGGATGCCAGAAGGATTTGGGGAGACCCTGGAGGGGAGAGTCCATGTGGAGGATGGGCAAAGCTGGAAGGTTTGGGCCAAGAAAAGGCAAAGCAGAATTGCCCAGGGAGGGGGGGGGCAGCAGGGGGGGGGGGGGGAGGGGGGGATGCAGGGCTGGGGGGGGGGGGGGGGGGCGGGGGGGGTGGCTGGGGTGGGGGCAGATGGAGGCCAGAAGGATTTGGGATTTGCTTCAGTTCAAAGGGGGGAAAAATTCCAGGAAGGTCCAAGTTTCCTTTTGGGGAAAAAGCCCCTTTGGGACAGCCATGACCGGGAGGACTGAGAATCTCCACTGACCCCTGGCAAGGAAGCTTCCCCCAAATTGGAACCTCCAGTGGGGGCTTTTTCGGCCAATAAAGAACTCTTTCATTAATAACAGTCAAAATAGGGAATCTAAATTTTTGGACTGACAATGGGCAAGCCTGAATTATTCATGGCTGCTATAAAAAGGACCAGCCAGAGACCAGCTTTCTTTAATGTGAGCTCCTGGCCTCTTGCTTTTTAAATATCTCTCGTCTTTCGTGACCTTCCCAGTCCATCGATCTGAAGAAACCCATCGACAAGCGGATCTATAAGGGGACGCAGCCCACCTGCCATGACTTCAACCAGTTCACGGCGGCTTCCGAAAGCATCTCCCTCTTGGTTGGCTTCTCAGCTGGGCAAGTGCAATACTTGGATCTCATCAAGAAAGATACCAGTAAGCTATTTAATGAGGAGGTGAGTCCAGGGGAGCATGGCTGACTTACAGAAGACGGTCTTTGTAGCTCAGGGTGGAATTGGAGGGTCCTTGGTGCTCCCTGAGCTTGGTGTCCATGCAGAGGTTTCATGACCCAACTAGGTAACAACATCCGTCCTAGAAGGGAGTGGGGATTGTGGGTAGGAGAAAGAGGAGGATTGCGGGGTCCCAGATGCTCTCTGAGCTTGGTAGTTTTCTTGCAGACGTTTCATGGCCCAACTAGGTAACAACGTCAGTGCTAGAAGGGAGTGTGCAGGGGAAGAGAAGAAGGAAGTGGAGGAGGAGGAGATTGTCTCTGGGGTCCTTGGTGTTCTCTGAGCTTGGAGGTTTTCTTGCAGACGTTTCATGACCCAGCTAGGTAACATCGTCAGTGCTAGGAGGGAATGGGGTTTGCTTTCTTTTTATATGCAGTGCCTTGCTCTGTCAGTATTGGTAGAAGTATTCTTAGTGGTGCCTTGATTTGGCTATGGCTTACTATTGTTGGTAATGATTGTTTATCAACACTTAGATGAGCAGAGATTAACACCAAAATCAACACCAGACCACCCATCAAGCAGTAAACAATACCTCAACCAAAGAACTACCAACTCAAACAGTAAACACAGAATAATCGAGGAAACTACCAAGAAAACATTTCTACCAACACTTACAGGGCAAGCCAGTATAAATAAACAAACCCCGCTCCCTTCTAGCACTGGTGATGTTACCTAGCTGGATCGTGAAATGCCTGCAAGGAAACCACCAACCTGGGGATCTTTCGGCTCAGCCCGGCTCCGTTCAGTGGGATCAGGCAGCTAAAATAGCTTCTGGATCTCCGAATCAGAGACTGTCGTTTCCCACATTTCTGGCTGCTGCTTGCTTGGGATTTATGCAACTTCTAGAGCCGAACATCTGGGAAAGTCTCCCCTGTTTTCAGTCTCTACTTAATGACTTCCTCCCACTACTGATTGTAATTAGCAGATTAATCAAGCGGCAGCTTTATTGCAGCCCTTCTCAGACCGTACGGCTTGTGGTTTTGCAGCTTTGACAGAAAGATGACTCAAAGCTTGAGCTCTGTGGGTGGAATCGTGCAGCAATTAACCCTCAAATTTGCATGGTGCCTTGCGATCTCCTGGCTGTTCTGAGACTTAAAATGGGATCGCCTTTTCCTGCACGGAGTGGTTTCCAGGGACGGATCCAGTAGGCGCTCCAATCCATCCCATCTCTCGGATGCTGGCTTAGATTTACAAAACTCCCCACGCGAAGCAGGCATTCGGGACAATCTGGATATTTTTCGTGCTTTTGCTCTGTCTTTATTATTGTTTTGAAAGGTTCTTAATTTGTAATGTCTTTTTTGGGGGATTGTAAGCTGCCCAGAGTTATTCGCCGAGATCAGGGGTCTCCAAACTTGGTAACTTTAAAGGCTTGTGGACTTCAACTCCCAGAATTCCTGAACTAACCTGACTGGCGGAGGAATCCTGGGAGTTGAAGTCCACAAGCCTTAAAAGTTGCCAAGTTTGGAGACCTCAGATTTAGACAAAAGTCAAGAGCAGCAGCCAGGGACACACAATCACACACAAACCTTCCTATTTGGAAGCATTTTTAATTTCTCCCCCTTGGCATGAGTATTGGCAGCTCTCAGCCGTTCAATTTGGGATTTCCAAATTGTTTCAAATATTGGGCTTCAATGAAGCCATTATAGGATTTTTTAAAAATTAAAGGTAGCAAAGATGCTTGGCCTTAAATTCTGTAAAGCAACGGCCTTCCAACTTGGCAAATTTAAGGCTTGTGGACTTCAACTCCCAGAATTCCGGAGCTAACATATGGAGGAATTCGGGGAGTTGAAGCCCACAAGCCTTAAAGCTGTCCAGTTTGAAGACCCCTGTTCTAGATGACCTCTGTCTAGCAATCGGGGTCCCTTTCAGGAATACGGAATGGGCTGGATTTTTTTCGGGCGTGCTCAGAATTTGCCTGCAATTGGGGTATTGGGGTGGGGGGCTGAGAGGCCCCTGAGGGTCTTTTTCACCTTTTGTTTCTGTCTCTCTCCACCACCACCCCCCAATTTCCCCCAGAGGCTCATCGACAAGTCCAAGGTCACCTTCGTGAAGTGGATCCCCGAGTCGGAGAGCCTCTTCCTGGCCTCCCACGCCAGCGGCCACCTGTACCTGTACAACGTGGAGCAGCCCTGCGTCTCGGCCGCCCCCCAGTATACCCTCCTTAAGCAGGGCGAGGGCTTCACGGTTTACGCCTGCAAGAGCAAGAACGCCCGGAACCCCCTGCTGAAGTGGGCGGTGGGCGAAGGGGCCCTCAACGAGTTTGCCTTCTCGCCCGACGGGCGCTACCTGGCGTGCGTCAGCCAGGACGGCTGCCTGCGCGTCTTCCACTTCGACTCCATGCTGCTGCAGGGCATGATGAAGAGCTACTTTGGGGGGCTGCTGTGCGTCTGCTGGAGCCCCGACGGGCGCTACGTCGTCACGGGGGGCGAGGACGACCTGGTCACGGTGTGGTCCTTTGCGGAGGGACGGGTCATCGCCCGGGGCCACGGCCACAAGTCCTGGGTCAACGCGGTGGCCTTCGACCCCTACACCACCAGCACGGAGGACGAGGAGAGCGGGGAGCTGAGCGGCAGCGACGAGGACCTCCAGGATCCGTCCGAGTTTGGGCGGGTGAGGACCAGCAGCACTCTCTCCCACCTGTCCAAGCACAGCGCCAAAAGCACCCCCTCGGTCACCTACCGCTTCGGCTCCGCCGGGCAGGACACCCAGTTCTGCCTCTGGGACCTGACGGAAGACGTCCTGTACCCCCACCCGCTGCTGACCCGCACCCGAACGCTCACCAACGCCTTCGGCGCCGGCATCCCTCCCTCAGGCAGCGGGGGCAGCAACCTGGCCGCCGAGTCGGGCGGCGGAGGGGGCCCGCTCCCCCGCTCCCTCTCCCGCTCCAACAGCCTGCCCCACCCGGCCGTCACCGGCGCTGCCAAAAGCCACGCGGCGGACGGGACGGTGCCCTTCAGCATCGGCAAGTTCGCCACCCTCACCCTGCAGGAGCGGAGGGACAAGAACGCGGAGAAAGAGCACAAACGTTACCACAGCCTGGGCAACATCAGCAAGAGCAGCGACAAGCTGAACGTGGTACCCAAGAGCAAGCTGGACACGGCCAAGGTGTTGGGCACGGCCCTGTGCCCCCGCATCCACGAGGTGCCCCTGCTGGAGCCCCTGGTGTGCAAGAAGATCGCCCACGAGCGGCTGACGGTCTTGCTTTTCCTGGAGGACTGTATTATCACCGCCTGCCAGGAAGGCCTGATCTGCACCTGGGCCAGGCCAGGCAAGGCGGTAAGTGGGTGTCGCGGCTCTCTCCGGCTGGGTTACTTATCGCTTAGAAGTCTCCTTCAAGAGGGGGAAGAGCCCTGGTGGCTGCAGGGGTTAGGATGCAGCATTGCAGGCTGACTCGGCCCACTGCCAGCAGTTCGATTCTGACCAGCTCCAGGTTGACTCAGCCTTCCATCCTTCCGAGAGGGGTAAAATGAGGGCCCAGATTGTTGGGGGCCAGAGGCTGACTCTGTAAACCAACCTTCCTTCCTCTCTCCCTCCCTTCTTAGTTCCTTCTGGTTAGAAGGCAGTATTGCAGGCTAACTCTGCCCACTGCCAAGAGTTCGATTCTCACCAGGCTCAAGGTTGATTCAACCTTCCATCCTTCCGAGGTTGGTAAAATGAGGGCCCAGATTGTTGGGGGCAAGAGGCCAACTCTGTAAACTGCTTAGAGAGGCCTGTAAAATCCCTGAAAAGGGGTATATAAGTCTGAGTGCTGTTGTGAAGGAAGCAAGCAAGCAAGCTGTAGTGGCACAGTGGTTAGTGTAGTATTTCAGGCTGACTCTGCCCATAGCCAGAAAGTTTGATCCTGACCAACTCAAGGTTGACTCAGCCTTCCCATCCTTGCGAGGTCGATAAAATGAGGACCCAGATTATTGAGGGCAAAAGGCTGACTCTGTAAACCTCTTAGGGCTGTAAAAGCCCTGTGAAGCGTTATATAAGTGCTATTGCTAAGTGCTAAGGAAGGAAGGAAGATGGAGGGAGGGAGGGTGAGCCCTGGTTAGAATGTAGTATTGCTGGCTAATTCTGCCCACTGCCAGCAGTTTGATCCTGACTGGCTAAAGGTTGGACTCAGCCTCCCATCCTTCCGAGGTGGGTAAAATGAGGGCCCAGATTTTTGGGGGGCAATTTGCTGACTCTAAACCGCTTAGAGGGGGCTGGAAAGCACCGTGAAGTGGTATATAAGTCTAAGGGCTATTTAGTGTTTGAGATGGGATTGGCCAGCACTCTTCAGTAGGTTGGCTGGGGCTTTTTCCAGTGTAGCTCTTGAAGTACGACCACAGTCGAGTTCAGAATTTCTGTTGCTAAGCAAGGGAATTGTGGAGTGAGCCATGCCTCCCTTTATGACCTTTCTGGCCACAGTGGTTAACTGAATCCCACAATCATTAAGCAAATCCGGTTTCCGCTCATTGACTTTGTTTTTCGAAAGACGACTGGGAAGAGTTACACATAGTGACTGTGTGAGCCCCAGGACATAAATAATACATGCCGGTTGCCAAGCGTCAAGAATTTTGACCGCCTGGCCATGGGGATGCCGCAACAATTGTGTCGTAAGTCACTCTGTTCCGTGCTGGTGTAACTTCAAAGGGTCACTAAATGAATAATTGTGAGGGCTACCTGTAATTTGAGATTCCATGAGGAGGACGTGAGACGCGGTGGCTCAGGGACCAAGACGCTGAGCTTGTCGATAGGAAAGCTCGGCAGTTCAGCGGTTTGAATCCCCAGCACCGCAGAACGGAGTGAGCTCCCATTCCTTGTCTCAGCTTCTGCCAACCGAGCAGTTCAAAAGCATATTTTAAAAAATGCAAGTAGAAAAATAGGGACCACTTTGGTGGGAAGGTAACAGCATTCCAGGCGCCTTCGGCGTTTAGTCCTGCCGGCCACGTGACCACGGAGACGTCTTCGGACAGCGTGGCTCTTCGGCTTCGTAACAGAGATGAGCAGCGCCCCCTAGACCCGGGAACGACTAGCACGGATGTCCAAGAGGAACCTTTACCTTTAAGGAGGAGGGAGAGGAGGAGGAGAAGGACTAGGACTGTGGGGTTCTTAGTGCTCTCTGGGCCCAGTTCTTTCCTTGCGGACGTTTCATGACCAAACTAGATAACATCATCAGTGCCCTGATACCACGTTCAGCCCTGACCTAGGAATATTCTCTTCTTCTGTACTTGGTTCCTGCTGCTTTAAGATGCCCTTGAGGTTCCCTCCTGTGCAAATCTGACTTCTCTTTATTTCTAGTTGCATTCCTGGGTTTATTTAGCCTTTATTCTCCAGCCAGAGATCCGCTCTGCCTTAGCCAGCTGGTGGAGCCGGTGACCACTAGATCCTGTAAGCCTGTCCCGGGGCAGATCCAGGTAGATAAGCAGAGAGCGATGGCTTGGTTAACTGTAAAAGGCCAGAATCGCAGGCCAGAAGGAAGATGTGACATGATTAATTGGTAGGTAGGAAGCACCGATGACCAGCTCAGACTAATTTCACCTCTGCGGATTCACCCCACAGGACTAACTTGTGGTCATCCATCACCCTGTGGAGACGGCAGCAGAGTCAGACAGTGGGGAGGAACATGGGCCAGTCCGGGAGTCTGGGGAGGACTCGGACGAGGGTCCTGCATCCAATGCAGAGATGGGGCCAGGGCCATCTGGGAGTTATGTGCTGACCCCGGAGCCTCCAGAATCTGTCAGCAGCGAGGCAGAGGAACAAGGGGAGCCTGTTCCCAGTGCACGCATGCGCAGAGCTGCCAGAAGGCAAGAGCAGCTGGGACAAAAGGGGCAACTTGGGAGTAAGGCTTGGAGATGATTGGCCCTCCCATAAGACATAGAGGAGGAGCAAAGGGACAGGGACCTTTGCAGGAAGCAACTTTGTCCACTCTGTTCGGATTAAACCTTAAAGCTCTGTGGGGACTTTGTATTCAGTTTAGCTTTTTACAGTTAATTTAGCACTTCAGTTGTTGGCAGCCATTCGAAGGAGAGAAAAGTGGGTGCTTATCTCGAGGAACTGTTTGGGGGACTCATGGCTGGGAATGAACATAATTCCCAGCATTGAAATAAAAAGAGAGTTGTTGGGACTAAGCGTGTGATTAATTATGGTCTCAGGGAGTCTGGTTAGAACATAACTCGCCATGTGGATATTTAAACCTTGCCCTCACCTTTTGATTTTTTTTTTTCAGATCCTGAATTCCCAGAACGGGGGCTCTCCCAGCGGCACAATCGTGTAAGCGGCACTAACTCAACGCTCGGCTTGGATACTGGATTGGAACTGATTCCGGTTCCTTCGCTCCACGCAGCAAACGTGACCAAGACGGGAAAAGTTTTCTGACATTTTCAACGTGTGTACAGGTTGTCTCTCTCCCCCGCTCCCTCCCTCGCCTGTGAAACCTGACTGTGTGGCAAGTTGGAATCCTTAACCGTTAACCTCTCGAGGCCGACGACGTTAGTGCAGGATGAACGGCGGCCTCTCCGCTATTTAAAAGTATTAATTAACAAACTCTTTTATTTAATGTTGAGGTTTGAGCACAGGGTGCTTGGAGGGGCTGATTTTGCACAAAGGTGAACTGAGCTATCCCGTCCTCCCCCCCTTTCCGCCCCCCTTCCATCCAGACAGAAATTCGGGTTGCTCTTTGACCCAGCCCAGCCTATCCCTAACTCCCATCTTCCTGGCTGCTTGGGGGGGGGGGGGGGAGAAAACCTCCCCCCAGAAGGAATCAGTTTTGTACAGGGTAGATGACCATCACTCCCTGCTGCGTGTAACCGTCCTTTTCTTTCCCCTCCCTTCCCTCCTTCCCCTCTGCTTTAATCCCGTTTTTGCACAGAAAGTTCCAGTATTTCTGCCGACCGGAGGTAGCCATCGTACCTCTTGTCCGGCAGAGGGTTCTCTCTCGGACTTCCTCCGCGGACGCTCCTAAAAGACACTGCTTACAAACCTTTTGAGATCCAGCGCGATGCTGCCAGGGAATTCTTGCCATCCGTTGTTTCCGGCGTCCTTTGTTGTGTGGCGGGGCCTCGCCTTCCGTTTCCTGCCTCCCTCTCGGTCCCCTCCAAAGCAAAATGGGAGTTTTTCTGCCCATCGGTTGGTCCTCGTACCGCAACAGCCGTGGGCGACGACCTGATGTTTCTCAAGGAGTATTTCATCCACCGATTCCGCTCCTTTCTCCATCCCACTCACGCCAGGGTGGGTGGGTCTCGGGACCGGCAATTTCTGGCCACATTTGATTCTTTCTCTCCGACACATTTTTTTGGGGTCATTGCTGACCGTTACGCATTGGCGATCCCAGCACATCCACACTGTTGATTTGCGTAGACCGGTTCCGCAACCTTTAATGAAACTCCATCCAGGCCGATGCTTCTCGGCCACTTGAAGAGGTGTGGGCTTCAACTCCCAGAATTCCCCAGCCAGCCATGATGGGAAAGGGAGTCCATGAATCTTTTAGGTTGCTGCAGTTAAGACACAGCGTTGTAGAGCAGGGGTCTCCAACCTTGGCAAGTTTAAGACTTGTGGACTACAACTCCCAGAATCCCTCAGCCAACCTTAGCCACTTTAAGACTTGTGGACTGTAACTCCCAGAATCCCTCAGCCAGCTTTGCTGGCTGAGGGATTCTGGGAGTTGCAGTCCACAAGTCTTAAAGTGGCCAAGGTTGGAGACCCCTGGCTTAGATCATCCTTCTTGCCTCTTCCAACTCTATCATTCCTGGCTGGCTGAGGGATTCTGGGAGTTACAGTCCACAAGTCTTAAAGGTGGCTAAGGTTGGAGACCCCTGACTTAGATCATCCTTCTTGCCTCTTCCAACTCTATCATTCCTGGCTGGCTGAAGGATTCTGGGAGTTGCAGTCCACAAGTCTTAAAGTGGCCAAGGTTGGAGACCCCTGGCTTAGATCATCCTTCTTGCCTCTTCCAACTCTATCATTCCTGGCTGGCTGAGGGATTCTGGGAGTTGCAGTCCACAGGTCTTTAAAGTGGCTAAGGTTGGAGACCCCTGCTCTAGACTACGTAGCTGCAGCATCTGACGCTTGTCCAGTCAGTTGCTTAGTTTGTTTAGCTTAGGTTCAGAGGTTCACCTCCTGGGGAAGTTCTTTTTGGTCACAAAAAGTAAATATTTAGGATGGTTC